GGAAAACACAGGAAAAGAAAGCCTTGTTTTTGTCCCTGTGTGATCAGGTCTTCTCTAACTTTCAAGCAGTCTTGGGAACCGTCCTGTCAACTCCTGCTCCGATGGCCACGGCCTCGTTTTTTATGTCTCCATAGTGGCAGCTGAGGGGAAAAAACATCGATTGGATTCCACTGATGTGAGAAGATTAATGGTCCGCCTGGATTTTCAACCGGCCTCTTCCACCCTGGGTAAAGCCTTGGCTTTAATATTTAAAATTCTTCTGACCTCTCTCTGTTTTAATTAGCAAGCGGAAAACTGCCCGGCTCGTGCCAGGAAAAAAAAAAGCCGAGTCCTTAAGATCAAAGCCGGCTCTAATTCACGTTTCTGCTCACCACGTTCAAAGGAGCGGGTTGGTAAAATGAGTGTCCTATATGATGGAGGTGGAAGGACATAACCCATCGGCTGCAAAAGGTGGGTGCAGTGTCCTGAGTGAAGCGATCCCGTTTCCGTGGGACTGGCTGGATCATTTTGCCAGTACATCCATGACGGAAATTTTAGGCTCCTTATGGGGGGAAAAATATCATCACCTCAAATCTTACTGGAAGTGTATCTACAGGATAAATAAAACATTCAGGATCTGCTAAATAATAAGAAAACCCATGAAACTGTGTAGCTCGAGGGCAAGTGTCAAATTCTTCCGTTGTACCCTTAAAGGAGTGGGAGGAAACATTATCTTGTAAAAGGAGGAGACTTGTGAAAGTGAGACCCCCCCCCTGCAAATTGAGTCATCTGCAAATCCCCTGCCGGTGCAGGGTCCATCCGGGGGCAGAACAAGGGGTGAAGCGAGGGAAAAGCCGGTCTCCTTGGTGAAGGACTCGCTACTTCAAAACATGGATCTCGAAATGGAAACCTCCAGGCTGGTATTCAGGCACAAAGTTATGGCCACCAAAGTGACCCTGCTGGCTCCGGCTGCATTTCGCTACATGCCACTCTCTCCCTGGTCCTGTGTTCTCCTGCACCACGGCGAGGATCCGTAACCTCTATGCGGCTGGAAACAGCCTGGGCTCTGCCTTCACCCCATCCTACACGGAATAGTGGGAAAAAACCCTGAACCTGAACTAAAGTAAAAGCTCAGTTTAAGCATCATTGATTTTCTTGCTCTTGCTCTCTATGTCTCTATGTCTTGGTGTTCCCACCCTGGCACCACCTGTCCGGAAATATTTTCCCTGGCAGAGCTGGAAATGGAAGCATTTTCAGACAAGCTGTCCTGAAATTTTTGCTCACCAAGCACAGGGCTGAGCCCAGGCCACAGCAGACCTCTGCCTGGGGTGGCACCAAGCATCTGGAACAAACCCCTTCCTGCTTCCTCAAACAAACACAAGTGCACGGTGGCCTGGGGAAAAGGAAGCGAAACTCTCACAGGAGAAGGGGAACAGCCCAACAAGTTTTCTGAGAATTATTTTTGAGACTTACTCACAGTTCTCGGAAATGTCCTGTCTAAGATGACCGAGGTAAAAGGGTCCCAGGTCTGCTATGAGAGGTGTGGGAAGCTACTAGAACAGGCTGTCCATATTACGGATGACACAGAACCACAGAGTCATAGAATGGTTTGTGTCAGAGGGACCTTCAAGATAATCTAGTTCCAACCCCCTGTCATGGGCAGGGACACCTTCCACTACATCAGGTTGCTCAAAGCCTCATCTAATCTGGCCTTGAACACCTCCAGGGATTGGGCACCCATAACTCCTATGGGCAACCTGTTCCAGTGCCTCACCACCCTCATCTTGCTTCTCAATGTGGTTGAGAAGCGATAAGGAACATAGAGCTTCTTGACCACACAACAGACATCCATATTTTCTCAGAGCAGCCTTGCCTAGAGAGACGTCCCCTGCAGAAGGCAGAGCTTCTGAGATTGTCCTGGAGACCCAGGTGTGAGACAATACAAGGAAGCTCAAGCTTTTACCTTCAGCAGTGAAATCCCTCCATCTACACTGAAGCAGTTCTGATATTTTACTCATCTTCCTCATGAACTGAGACAGTGTTATCTATAAAAACTGAAAATGTGTTATCGTAGGCGCTCTTCAATTATTAGCTCTCTAAAAGACCAAAATTTCTGTATGTCTTCATGCACTCCCTGGTGGACGTATCTACCACACACAAGATCAGCAAATCTGCATTAATCTCAGCCTTGGGCTAGATTTAAAATGATTCTGTAAAAAGAGAAATCTTCTCCTTTAGTGGATCTCAATGGCAGATGCCAACACCTTCATCGTCACCTCCAACAAGGAATAAGCGATGGAGGTCTGCAACGGAAGCAATTTCATACGGCCTGAAAATCAGCTGAAAGATGTCAGGCCAGGGACATTAATGAATATCCCTCATGAAAGGTAAAAGACCAACCACAGCCTTCGCTGTGGGATTTCACACATATATCTTCATCATGGCCAGAATGTCTTGGACTGGGAGGGGAAAACACTACATCTGGATTGCTGATTTCTGCTGCTCCTGAAGCAGTTCTGCCAATGAAAAAACTCAAGGGTGGCAGCAAAAGTTGGGGTTCAGGGGGGACCATCCCTGCCCGACTGCTCTCCTTGGGCAGTGGCAGAGCTGCCCAGATGCAGTTCTGCAGGAGATGCAAAAGGAGGCAACCAAGGCAGTAAATGGAGCTCGTGAGACAGAAGGGAGGACAGGGGACAGCTGACATTGAGCTGGGTAAAGGTGAGGGAGGGATGAAGAACTAAGATGGGTGAGGAACTGGAGCGAAAGGCTGTGATTTGATGCAGGGAGCAGGGGGGACCAGGTGCAAGATGGGGACTACAGTCATGAAGAGAGCGAAATGCCCAGTAAGGGTGATGTGGTAAGAGCAGTAAGGATGGTGATGAACTCCCCGGACGAGCCCTGCACTGCATGCAACCAACCTCAAAGAAAGATGAAAAAATTGCCTACCACAGGCACATGGCATATTTGCTCCTGATTCTGGGAGGCACGGGTGAGGCAGCTGCTCTTGGCACACCCTCCCGAGATGCCTGCAGGAAGCTGAGCACGGTCGCCCTGCGCAGCCTCCCTAAGGGCACCCAAACCTCTGCCAAGGAACATCAACCCATATTGTATGATTACTCGTGGAAGCGCAGAGCTGGAGCTGTCAGCTGAACTGCTCTGGCATCACCTCCTCCCTTACCCTGTGTTAGGATTTTATTTTATAACAAATACGTACAATTTAAACCGCCAGTGGTGTTCCTGGTGTTCCTTCACTACTGAGTATTGCTTCACTCACGACTCCAGATGGTTTATTAACAACAACATAGACAAAAAGTCACTTTTTCAAGCAGCAACTGTTTATTATTGGGAAAAACATTAGGATTTTTTTTTTCTCTTACATATACTCGATTTGAATAAAAATAATTTAAAAATTTTAAATTTCTTTTTATATTACATGAAAATAACTCGAAACAAGGACTGTGAATTTTTGGAAGCAAGAAAACATAGACAAAATTGTTGTTTAGCTGCTGAGATGTAGTACTTGGATTTTTTTAAACTCAAATAGAGAAACAATCACAATTGTCATTCCAGTGAAGAAAATTAATCCATCTATAAAATATCCTGAAGTTTGAGAATGGTATACAGTTACACTAGAAAGTATTCATAATATAGTACGTGAGTTCTAACATATTACCTAAAATATATAACTTCTCAGACTTTACAAGGTCAAACATTTTAGACCATATTCCAGTGGAAAAACACTATGAAATTATTACGATCCTTTTAAAGTTCCTGTTGAATTAACTTTTATTTCCTTTTGAGGAATTTTAATATAATATTTCAAGCAATAAAATATTGCATACAAACTAGCTTGCAGAACTTTATTCACACTAACTTGGACAACTGCGGTTTTAAAGGACGAAGCACCTTTAGTAACAGTGAGAAAGCGTCCCCATTACAGTAGCTGACGAAGAAGCAGATTTTGTGCACAGATTGGTACAATTTTAATAACTTTTCTATAAATCTGACAAAAATTACTGCGTATTCGGCAATAAGAAATTAAACTAATGGGAAAAAAAATATGCTTAAGGCCGGCGTAGGATTACGGCGTTACAAGACAAAGATCCTATTAATTCATCCAATTCATATCATATGACAAAGACTTCCAATAAAAAAATGATTTCTTCTTCTGTTTCATTTTAAAATACCTGCAAACTGCTGCAAGCTCCATTCCCTGGCTTACCTCGTCTCTTTTCAGTTGACTGTGAATACAGTTCACCTTTTTGTTAAGTTCTAGGGTAACAAACACCATTCAGCATCCCCTGAATGTATTCCAAGAAAAAAAGCACCCCCAAAAACCAAAAAAAAACCCCAATCAGCACGTCAAGCTCTTGCTTTAGAACACAAAACTATTACCTGCAAGAACACACAGGGTAAAAATGAGATGGAATTTGCGTAGGTAGTTATTTGCATTGAGTGCCATACTAAATTTAATGTAACTGTCCCAGCCGTGGCTGGCCGATGGAGCGACGGAAAACCACTCCTCACTGAGTACAAGGAAAAAATACTATTAATACGATCGTCAAAACTGTTCTCCTGAAGCAGTCTAACCTCAGGGGTCAGTTCTCTTCTAAAGAAACGCTTGAAATGCTGCCTGGCAGCGCAGCTCGACAAACAACCCGATGCCATCTAGAGCGTCAAGGTCAAGCTCTTTCAAAAAAACACCATTTCATTTCAGTATATTTTGGGGGATTTTTGTTTTGCCTTGTTTTGTTTTGTCTTGTTTTGTTCTTGGCCTTTTTTATTTTTGTAACTGTCTGCTGTTTTCCAGCACCATCTCAGAGGCTGGAACATTTCATTCCTTCCTCTGCCGGTTTTGTCATTTTCCACTTGGCAGATCCCAACCACCACACCCCGCTACTCCTCACGGCGCAGCCGGCACCGGCACCGCCTTCTCATTTTCCTTGTCTGTTATCCGGATCGTCAGTGGGATTTACAGCCCTGGAATGTGATTTCTGAATTAATACGCATTTTCTTTTCCTAAGGAATGCCTTATTTTGTAACCATAGCTGTGTAAAAACACTGTCATTTTAAATAATGAGTGGGCGGTGGCTCTTTTGAGATAAATCAGTGACGCAATTTAGAAAGCCAAGGAGGCATTTTCACCCGACTGCAATAACTTTAAGAACAGGTAAAATTTTGGACCTAAACTAAGCCATTTGTCTTCCTTTGTAAATTAAGAATTACTTTTAGTTTTACCAAGAAATATTCTACTGGTATGAACTACAGAATTTTTGAAATTATTATGAATATTTATGGTTTACTTTTCTTCTCTAAATATATTACTCATTTAATTCATTCAGGAATCTACCATACTGTCAACCAACTACAGTAATCCAGAAATATTTTCTCCTTATGGAAGGGGCTTCATCACTAAGCCACATCTTCCTGCAAAGCTTCAGTATTTTTGATTGGTAAAAAGCATTTCTCATTGAAATAATACTGAAGTGGAGCCCAAGCACTCCTCCATATATATGACTGTTAAGTTAATTAACTTTTCAGGACAAAACGTTGATCACATTCAATGACAAGATACACTATCAGTTTCAAGACAGCTCCAGCGGTAGCTCTGGTGGTACAACCGTGTATCTTGGGTCAAGCTTAGGTGTGAAATCCTTGAAGTTCTTAGATGCTTCTGTACCAAATACATCTAAAACTTTCCTGTTCATGAGAGCAAATCTGAAAGAGAAATGGGAGAGTCAACAGATTATTCATTTACTTTCAAAAAAAAAAATTTTTAAAAAAAAATAATTTAAATTAATTTATAAAATTATTAAAATTATTTCACCTCACGAAAGACCATCCAAATATTTGAAATACAAGCTTCAGTCTGCACCGGTTAGAGGCGACAAAGTTTTCATCTTGGGAAATAAAGATTTTACAAAAAAAAAATATTGAAAAATCTAATTAATAGTCCTTTGTGCAGATATACTTTATGTAACACAACTTGTGCAAAAGGAGTAAGAAGAGAGTCCCCTTCTACTTTCAACTTCACAAAAAAAGTCAAACCAAAACATACTACTCTTCTTTCTCACCCAGCCCTGCATGGGGGTGAGAAAAAACTCTGGCCATGCCTGCCCAAGTGTGAATAACAATTTTATGGGTGTTTCAATCTATTTCCATCTCTTTAGTCTTCAAAATTGTTGAGTTAAAGACCTATGAAACATCAAAAAATCTGCCTCTATGGATAGAGCGTCAAAATTACTATTACAGAGATTTACTTCAGGTAAAATAAATGAGCAGAGTAGAATTTCTTTGCCCTCCTCTTTATTTTAACTAAAGCAATCTCTGGATTAGCACAAGAGGGAAAATTGCAGCCAAAATTGGACATCTGCACTGACATCATCCCCCGTATCATGTTTGTACAGCCTCAGAGGTTGCCTGCAGGCTGCCTCCAGGCATCCCAAGGAATGCTTCCCACTATGTCCAGCAACGCATTCGGTCACCTCACGTCCAGCTAAGAGCATACTGTGCCATGGGGAGTGTAGGTTCAACACGTCCAGGGACTGGCCTCTGATTTCAGTTCTATTTTTACAGTCTGGAGAGCTCAGTGTCACAACAAACGTTACCTTTTATAATCCCATTCATAAACTGACCTACGTCCCGATTTGGATGCCTTGTTTCTGCCACATACCACGTCAGTGTAACAGTGTATACTTCACCAAATTGTATTTTCATAAATCAGTTACAACAACATCTATTTTAACAGGTAAGCATTTTAGATCCCTGCAGCAAGTAAGAGGAAAAATATCCAGTAAGATATTGCAGTGTAAATTTAGGGTTATAATCAGTGAAAAATTTCATTAGTTTTCCAGGAAAAAAAATTCCTTTCCCAACTGAAACTGATGTCCTATAGAAAACTATTGAGTCTTCAAAGCATTCTTAGGAAACACTCTGACATTTCTAGCAATGCTTTTAAACACATAGTAGTACCACGTTGTCAATCACTAAGTGATTTCTTCAACTGCTATAGCTGTTTACCGCATTCTTTATATTCCACTGAAATCCGAAAGCATTCCACCCTTCCAAGTGAACCGAAGTTAAGAAAACCTTCAGGTAAAACACTCATCTGCTAAACAGTCTTAACTAGATTTAAGGCTTTGCTCCTGTCATTAGACTAAACCAGGCAGCGTCGCTTCAGCAGCAAAGAACTTCCAGTGGACTGGAAACCTGCTGAAAAGCAAACACTGAGGAAACCAGCCCGTACGTACCCCTGTGGCTCAGCTCTGCTGTTGACAGCGAATGACACAGAAAGTTGAATGTGATCAATGATGCGCTTGGACAAGTCATACCACACCCCTGATTACATACCTGCCCTTTGTTAGTCGCAGAAGAAATTTCCAGTAGGAAGGTCTCAGGTTCTGCACTTCCATGACAGCCTGCAAGGAGAGCGTTCTGTCAGAGCCAGCTGACAGCATCAGGCAACAGCCTCATCTGCTACATCATGTTGTCAAAACCAGTGAAAAGGATAGTTATGGAAATACATCTATATTTTTTTTTAATTTTTAAAAATAATCTCATGATTCAAGGACCGAAAGCAGCTGTGATCACTAGCCAGTGCCCAGCGCTGTCAGGAGACACACTGCTCAGAGCTGGACTCAGTGCTCTACAGGACCAACACCAGCACAGACTGATATTCCCAGAAGGCTATCTTTAAAGAGTGGTGGTAATTAACTTAGGTCTCATTGCAGAGAAAGCAGCAGTGATCCTTACCATTCCTATGTACATGATTTTGCACTTGGGGATGCCAAATTCACTTGTTATTTTAACCCCACTGACTCTGCATTTTGTGATCTACCATTTCTTGTAGTCATGTTTCTATTTCATGTTATGTATGTTAAATCCTAGAATCATAGAACAGTTTGGGTTGGAAGGACCTTCAAGATCATCGAGTTCCAATCCCCCTGCCACAGGCAGGGACACCTTCCCCTAGATCAGGTTGCTCAAAGCCTCATCCAGCCTGGCCTTGAACAAATAATGGTATGTAACCAAAATTGCTGTATTCTCTCTACTCCATTACTTTTCCAGGTCACTTATGAATATAGTGAGTAACAAACATCTCAGCATAGATCCATTTGCTAATTTCCCCCTCCTGCCTATCTCTCAAATCTAGCAATTTACTTCAAGTCTTGGATTCCTTTTCCAGCTAGTTATTGAGTAATAAAAAAACCCCTTTCCTCTTTTCTTGTAAGAACTTTATTTCTGTTAGCCTCATACAACGGTCCTTGCCAATACTATGTTGGAGATCTCAATGCTCCAGACCTTCAGGCACATCCCAAGTACTAAAATAACAGTTCACTTTGATATTAGAATGAGAGAGATTCCCAAATACATGGGAGCAATGAGGAGGAGGAGTGGAACTGTTCTGTTAAGCACGAGAGAGCAAGAGACTGCTTTAGGATAATTTTATATTCTCTTTATTGAGGGGTAGAAAAGTATATTTTATTATGGAAGAACTAAAAAAGATTCAGGGACATTTCAGCAGATCTAGAAAGGGGGAGATATAGTGGATTAACATAGAGTAATTTGAGTAGCACTGGAATGGAGTTTTTATAGCTGATGCAGCTGATAAAGGAACTGGTGGTGAAAGCACGTTAAGTGACCTGGAAAGGCAAAAGATGGCAACTACAGCTTGTTTCAAATGTACAACTTCAGACTTCCTTGCTCATTTTTGCAGATTCTTTCAAACAGGCAACTTGAATTCAAGTTAGCTGAAAGCGAAAAACTCCAGTTGATTACGAAAACCACAAAATAGTACAATGTATTGTTTGTCTCCTTGAAAAACGGTCCTTTCATATGCTTATGAAAGTCCATACACTTATGTTCATCTTCTGGGTCAACGCATTTTAAGATCAATGTTTTGTATAATGTATTCACCTATAAGCATACGAGAAATTTGAGTCCTAGAAATGATCTTCCCACTGTGACACTCAAAAGCAGGATGCAGGAGCCCTCATTCACAGCATCTTGCTGGAAAGACTACCTCACACCATCTTTTCTATATCACTGTATCCCTGTGCTCCTCATTTCATTCAGCATTTGACTTAAAGAACTTTGTATTCTGTTAGAAGACAACATACTTACTGCCTGAAAGCATATCGATGTAGAAATGGCATAGATGATGCTGTCTGCATGAGGAAAATAGGGAACCTTCCCTGCTTCAATGCCTTTGAAGTATATAGTCTATAAAAATAAACAAAAGATGCTGAATGAAACAAAATAAAGTCACTTTTTACTTTTCATTTATTTTACCTTTTCAAAGTAACATGTCAGCGTTACTAACTATGCTTATACATTTTTGTATATGTCCACCAACGTGACACGGATTGAGCTAGCTTATAGAAGTTACCCAAGATCAACAGAATAAGAGGTTATAAATGCACAGAACAGGACCGAGCAACAGCGTGGGTGTTAAATAGATCTTAAAGACAAAAATAGGGAAAGTTTGTTAAATTCTTCATTTTAAAAAAGCAAAAGAACAATGCAATAACTATTCCAACAAAGTGAATATTCACTGTTCTTAAACAGCTTGAAATCACATACTTTTCTTTCTGAAAAAACATGTAAAGTTTATTTTCCTGAGCACAGCTTGACCTTCCAAAGCAGCACACGCCTCTTTGGTCAGTTACCCTTGGCTTGCATAAGATGATAAAAGTAGTTAAAAAGAAAAAAACAAAGAAAGAAAGAACACACAGCCCTTTTCTTATTTCATTGCAGCCACAATGTCTCAAAGTCCAGAGAAAACCATCAGCAATACAAGATAATATTGTTTTTTTACAACTGGTGTTCTGAAAGTCAATATGGATAACTCAGAGTTGCTTTTGTATAACCATTATGTGAACTACCTTCAGAGCTTGATCTGGGATGACAAGGAACAAGAATAAACAGAGTATATTTTCCCTTTTTATGTTTAATTTTATGCTTAAAAAAAAAGTTCCTTCTTTTTATATTCTTTGAAACGAATTCTGCTCTGGTAATGGAGGTGGGTAAATACCACCAGGGAACGAGGCCCTCGAGGTCTGCACGAGAAAGCTCTGTGATTCGGGGATGATGCAAAATAAGAGAACGCTTTCAACTTATTCCAGTGGTGCTGTTGGGGAAATAACCATGACTAAGTCAGGATTTTATGGAAAACTCACAGTAAGAAATTGAAAGCTGGTTAGTGAAGTATAATGAACATACTCAAACTCTGCAAACAATTTTTTTCCCTGGGCTCTTAATTTTAACAAGTTCGTAGAAATAATTCAAGCCCGAAAACCAGTAATTAGAGTGAAGTTCGCTCCAAAGCTGGGAATTCAATCAGTTGAAGTATACTGACAAACAACTCCTGCTATAGACTAAAACCTACGCTATTTTGAGTTATCTTACATTGCTGAATGCCAAAATTAGGGAACAAAGGCAGGAAGTTAAGCTGTAGCTTTTGGCAATAAATCCGCAATTAAGGATTAGGTCTGATTTATGTTTCTGGCAGAACAGACATTCTTGGAACTTTCAGATTTAAAAAATCTGCAAAAGCTACAAAGCAAAGGGCTACCAGGAGATTAAAAAAAAAAAATCACGGAGAATATACATGGAGACCAGTGGATAAAGGACTTTTAAAATGAGTCACAGAAGAGGAAATAAGAAAGAAAGGAGACCACAGAACGGCACTGCCTCTTGGCACACACCTACTGAAACACACCACTGCCACACAACTTTGTATTATACTGGAATTGTCTGACAAAGCCTGTGAAGTTCATTTTCTTTTCCTGCCTCGAAAAAAAATAGATGAAATGAAGAACTCTGTTACGAGGGTAATACCTTACCTCTACTAATTTGGACGCCAGGTACATAGAGATAGTAGTACTTTTGTAAAACATCATAGAAATTCCTGCTAAACACCCTGCAACAATTAGAAAACAAAAGTATTGTTAAGATTGTGATCTATTGCTGCTGTTGCAGTACGCCAGCTCAACAGACGATGCACAAGATTACGCTTTCTGTTCCTACAACAAAGTTCAGTGATGTTCCTCTGCTGGCCATCAAAATACGGTTTATGTCATTTTAAAAAAGAGAGTTTTTGAAACCCTGAAACAAACCTATAGCTCAGTGCACAGGAGCACAGAATCAAGCTTTCTCTCTCATCCCACAAAGAAGAGAGACCTCTCAGGTTCCAGAATGTGACAAATGCACAAATGACAGGGAAAGGCCTCCAAAATCACAAAAATTTCAGGGCAAAAGGATCCTTCTTCAGATCTAGTGGTGCCCATCCTTTCATATGTGTATTTTGTCATGTGTGAGAGACTCAATATTTCAACCTCCCATCTCTACAGCTGGAAAATGCAGGACAAGTTCACATTTGTGCATACCATGAAGGTGCCTGTAAAAACCACACCATTTGATTGAATTTGCCTTACAATTTTATTTGCAACTCCTGATCTGAAACTACTTGAAACACCACTGTCACCTCACTGATGTAACCTTAATCCACCCAGTCCTATTTTCATCCCACCAGTCTGAAAAGGGACTAGGAGGACAGACACCCAATGACACGCACAGGAGAAACATTTGCAGAGCCCCGACAGAGCCAACATAGACTTCTTCTCATGGACTCACCAGCTACAAGCGCATGAAGCTCATCGTCCAGGTTTCGCACCCAACGCAGGAAGCAACTGGTACCCTGTAGGTGAACAGAGAGCAGGATTAGCCCTAGTTATTTATTTCTCTTTCATAACACAATAAACTGGAAATATTTCTTGATAAGCTAGTGATATAGCACACTGTATGAATTCAGAGCGTAGTGTGATAATACCCATCATCCACAGTACCTGAAACATTTCAGTGTTTTAATTAAGTTTACCATCACCATTTCTTTCAGAATCAGAGAGCAGATCAATCTCATTTGAATACCAATCTAATTCCAAAGCGAATCTTGACCTCACGTCATTTTCATCTGCTGTAGTTGTCTAGAC